CCTGCATTAAACATCAAATAAGCATCTAAGATACATATTTGAAGAAATTGTATAATAATAAGTTGTTGATTGTACCTTGTTAATCACATAACACTTCTTTGTACACAACGTTTGATGTGTAGATTCCATCATTATGAAACGTTTTTTCCGGCTTTACTAATACCTTGGTATTGACATGTGATATTCCTCTGGACAACGCCACATAAAGCTGGCCATGTGAGAATACCGATTCTGGTAGATAAACACCTACATTTGGAATTGTTTGTCCTTGAGCTTTATTGATTGTCATAGAGAAACTAAGCTGAATTGGAAACTGCTTTCTTTTAAGTTTGAATGGGAACATCTCATCGTCAGACGGACATAGAGGAATTCTTGGTAAAAACACTCTTTTTCCAGCATGTTGGCCAACCGCTATCTCTGCATCAATGACATTTTGTTGGAAAGCTCGACATATCAATCTGGTGCCATTACATAACCCATTTGAAGGATCGATATTTCGCAAAAGTATTACAGGGCACCCAGTTTTTAACCGAAGATAATGAGGGGGTACACCACTAACATTTAGCGAGTTCAAATACTCCATCGGATATAAGTTATTTTTGTCATCTTCCGCTTCATCAAAACTATAGTAAACTTTTTGCTCGCCAGAAAATCGTTCGATCAACTTATTATTAATCTCATCAACACTTTCATTTTTAGTTGACAGTATCGCCCTCGAAATGATAAATTTTGAGTCGGCGCCGTTGGATTCCAAAGAAGGAAATATTGCATCAATCAGAGCGTCCACTGATTTAGTTTTATCAGTGTACCGAATGGACATGTTATCAGGTATACGAATATAGGACTCGTCCAATGTTTCCTCCTTTCCATCACCGACTCGTAATAAAAAATCAGAAAACCATGGGTCATTTACCGCTCTCATGTTGATACTTAATCGAAGCCTTTTAACTGAAGCCCATAGAGGTGACATTCGTAAGCTAGAGTCGACAATTTGTGCTCGAGTGCCACGTCTCACGACCGGTAACACTTGTCTAAAGTCACCTCCCATAACCATTATCTTTCCACCGAAAGGGAGCTTCTCATCTGTGATGTCTTGCATTGTGCGATCAACTGCTTCTACTGCCTGCCTCTTAGCCATTGCTGCTTCATCCCATATGATTACCTTTGCCTCGCGAAGTATCTGAGCCTTCCCACTTTGTTTAGTGATCTTGCACATCGAGTTATTATCAAGATTGAGCGGAATTCCAAATCGTGAATGAGCTGTTCTCCCTCCTGGCATGTTGTTAGCCGCAACACCTGACGTGGCAGTTGCAAGTGCAATAAGACCACGAGCACGAATATTAGCCAACAAAGCTTTGTACAAAAATGTCTTTCCAGTTCCACCGGGACCATCTATGAAGAAGACACCCGGAATATTTTGATCCACATGCCTCATTATCTCATCATATGCAAACTTCTGGTCTGGATTGAGAGAGTCTCGCGCATGTAAGTCTTCATATTCCACATTTATAGAGTATTCTTCTTGCACCTCACGATAGCCTCTTGATTGTAAATCGATGTGTGCACTGACCTTTGGAAGGTCGTAATCACTAAGCTTTTTACTCATAGATTCTAGGAAGACTCTAATGTCGATGAGGACCATATTTTGCACTCGCTCGGCGCATCCATATTGTTTCCTGTAATCTTCAGAAAGAGAATCATAGTGGTCGTCCCATAACTTGCGAACATTTCCTGGTTCACAAAAAATCAGCATCGTCGCAAATAACCTTCTAAGTGCGCTGGGAAATTGAAATAAGGAAGCCTCTTCAAGACACTGTGATAAATTATCATCCGTCTCTATTAAACCTCTTTCAAGAGCTGCTTTTCGAAATGTAGGGTGTAATACACCATTTGCTGTGTATAAATCTTCAAAGCAGGTAGGCCCGGTGATATGACATAAAAGCAGGCGTAGGTAGTATCTCTCTCCTTCAGCTGGATTAGCATAAACAAGTCGACCAACCATTGATTTATGTTCCCGGATCCTCCAACAATGGTTGCTCCGATTCCATGTAAAATGTTTGGGAAAATCCTTATACAAATATTCTCTCGCTTTGGAATCTTCTTTATTCTTCTTGAAAAATGCCGTCAACATTGAATCTTTTTCTTTCTCTCTATCAACAATGTCTTCCATTCTGTCAACGTCTTTGAACCTAACCAACTGTTGATTCGGGAGATGTATTTGCAACGCCATCACACAAGGGTGGATTTTTGATAGAGGAAAGCTAAAAACTCGCCATAATGCCTCGGGAGGGGACACATAACGTGCGTCTTGAAACTTTTTTATCTCATTAATAACAACATTTTCTTGGTCTTTATCAATATGGATAACTTGTTTGTCATGGCCCTTATAAACATATTTGAAGAGGTACTTCACAGACTTTATACTCGAACAAACCTCAACGTTGATATGACAATTAAACATCATTAACAACTTCGGGTTGTATGGAGCCACCCATCTGTTATCCAATGATGTATTTCTTACAGTAACCTCAATTCCATTATTTCTCCTTCTATATAATGGATATGAGTCCTCTCCTTGTGATGTCTTTTCATTGAATTGCCTAGGATATCTGAAACGACATATTTTTGGCACACCCTGCATACACGGACTTTTTTCTCGTAAGCTACATAGGGACCGTGCATCATGTGACTTTTGACAAGATCATGCATTTCAGGAAACCTTATTGGGTCGGGAATTTCCGCACACACAAGTTTGTCATAATCGTCTGGATTATTCATCTTATATCCAGGGGTCATTATTAAGAGGAAATGTGCATGTGGCAATCCACGCTTTTGAAACTCTATCACATACACATATGACCCCACCACACCGATTATATGTCTCTGCAATAATTGTACCTTGAGATCCTCTAACTTAGCATGAAAAACTCTTGCAACAAGGTCCGGTCGATCTTGAGCTGACTGTCCAGGCAATAACTCATCATCGATTTCTTTCCATTTTGGGTTGCAAGTCATTGTAAGAAATATATCAGGCCTCCCATCATCTTGAACTAAAGCCATGGCATCCAGAAATCTTCGGCGCATGTCACGTGGACCTCCAATGAAACTTGCAGGTAACACAACTCTCTGTCCAACCCTACTTGGTTGAGCCTCACCGGCATTAAAACAATCAACAATGCCCTGGTATAAATCAGCTCTAATTTTGGTTTGGTTCTTTTCAACAAAAACCAAACGTGTAGTCTCAATCTTTATATAGGTATCTACTGCAAACTGCTGGAACAATCTCCCTCCCATCAAAATCACATTATCATTCGACCGTATCTGGAACTTGTAACAATAGTACTCCCGCATACTTACAGTGTTTCTGCCTTTTTTTGAAGTAGATCCTGTGATATCATAATTTATGTGAAAAATATAAATTTAATATCCAAATATTTAAGGCAATACGTGTTACATGTTTTAAATATGTAAAAGAATGTTAAAGGCGTACCTTCTGAACCTTCATCATTGTCTTCATTGTCACTAATAATTTCATCCATGGCCACCCCATATCTTGGTATTTTAGGATGCCATCCAGACTCACCATTAGGAAAGAATAAAGGATACGACAAAGGATCATAACAACCAAAGTGAGGTTGAATTTCAGTACTATAGTTAGACCTCCCGTAGACAATAATACTTCTTTTATATGCAGTGATGTTGTCATTTCCTTCAACCCAAATACCAGCAACCTATGCAAAGGTGTAGTTCAATATGGTGATTAATATGATATGTATAACAATAAATATGAGACATTTAATTTTAAAATGAATAAAGTTAAATGTTACTATTCACACCTCAGATGTGGTAGGCTTATTGTACACCCTTTGGTCAAGCTCCACCGATGCATTCAAAGTCACTCTATAATTATCAAGCGGTCCTAGATCAGAAAGTTGTTTAAATGTTCTAACGTACGGATTCGAAGCTAGAATACGTGTTAGTTTTTGGATGATTCTTCTATCAACATTCTTCCAGGAGGATCTTTGTGATATTTCAGCTTCACCGTCATAAAAATACAACTGTAAATACCTCGATTTACCATCCCTTGAAATTAGCTGATCGATATTATGATAGAGTGTTCCGTGCGCACAAAAAGTGTAAACTCCAGAATTCATATTGGCCAATTCTTTATCCACATTTACACCTAGTGATGCGAAAGAAAAGTTTGAGTTATACGCCCTTATATTGTACCTGAAGCTTTCTTCTAGCTGCTCTTGCCTTGTGAAGAGTTGGTGCAACTCTGTGGGAATAGGGGAGTGTGCCAGTTTTGTCTTCCCACTCATGCAACAAAAGGTAGGGAATTCATATTGTAGTCGCTTTGCTCCACAATAAACACAAGGGTTTTGAGCCTTTAATATACGATGTTCCATACGGATATTTTCATAAACAAAATCATACGGATCGTCCTGAAAGGCGTATACTCTTCTTTTTGTCATCATAGTTCGTTCCTTTCTTCGTTGATAATATTCTTTATTATAAGTACTCGTCCTCTGAGCAGCACTTATAACACTCACAGAGGAATCTTCGTTGATATTTGTTTCGTTTGTCTCCATTATAGTGCAACTTGTGAGTGTTGTAGGTTGACTACATCCTTCACCGTTAGCTATTCTTCTCTTTTTGTTTTTCTCCTTTTTTCGTGCATAATAGTTTCTATTGTATCTTTTTCGATTTTCTACAAACATATTATTTGGATAAATAGTTATATATTATAAATGCAAATATATACTCATATAAACGACATACCTTTTTCTATATCTATCGGGTTTTGGGAATCATCACAGTTTTCGTTTCCCTTATCTACAGTCCCCATTGAACACTATAATGGAAATGTTAAGAATAAGCACATATTATATCATCAAGAATGTAACATTTTGTAATGTAGACCATGTGATTTAGTAGTCATGTATGTGTGTGTTTCAAAAAGTAATTATGAATTCATAAGTCAACACAAGAAAAATAAACCATACATGAAAAAATTCACCATAATATGTCTAACATTAATGTAGATCAACAATAAAAGCAACGCACTCGTAAAAGTTGTCAAAACTTCAAAAAAAAAAACACCACCAAATGTCTCACACGGAATTAAAAATTCTTCTAGGCATATTTATGATGTTAAATGCTTCCGGCATCCGCGGTTGGAACTCTACGTTGCTTAGTTTGGTTGATATCAAAATGTTCACTGAAAATAAGATAAAAACTATTAAAATGTATTGATTTAGGTATTTTAATATCACTACAATTATTATAATTTTCTAGAAAAAACGTACTTGAATCCAAATGAACCAATTTCACCCGAGAAACAAATATTATATACTTTCTCTCTATCGCATAGACAGTCCTCACAATTTGATGGCGTGTTCGGTCGGTTATATGTAGTTTCATCTTTATTATACTCCCTCTATTTATAATCAAATATTTCCAAAGTCACCTAATTTTGCTTTAGTGTAATCATAATAATAATAATAATAATAATAAAGATAATAAAATAATAATAATAATAATAATAATAATAAACACTTACGGCCCATCTTGGAGATATAAAGTGAAAGAAGTTAACGTCAGTAAACCAGAGTAACGGGAATAGTTTCGCTTGCCTCTGATGATTTTTCCAACAATATCTAAAAATAACGATAATTAAAAGGACAACTTGTTATTATTTTAAAAACTTTAGAATGCTGAAAATATATACAATTTATTAAATTTACCGATCATCATTTTTCTCTCTGTCCGATCTTCTACTAAACTTTTTATTGAGGGAACCAATGGGAAAACCGGAAACCATTATATGATAGCATCGGCCAAACGATTAAACCGTGTGTTGTTGCTGATCTTAATCATCAAATCACCACGTAATAAACTATATTCTTGATATCTCGGATACTCAGCATAGGTTGGTTCGATTTGGAAATGGTTTAAAGAAAACACACCACCCAATAGATTCCCTCCATAAATAAAGCGCATCATTTGTTGTGGAACAACTGCTAACAATTTCTCTCTCTAATAGAAAATGTAATATTTTTATAAACAAAAATACTTGTGATAAATTATGAAAATGAATATAAGATATAAATAGTTTTGTAAACATACATTTTGATCAATGAGAACCATGAAAAGTTTGTTTGCTCTTGAGTCCCTCCAAATGAAATCAACACGAACGGATGTCAAAACATACCACAAATGGTAGTTTAGTAGCAACGAAAATGCATCAATGTAAATATGACCATTCATGATTCTACAAAACGAAAGTCGGATGTGATTGATGTAGAATTGATTTATTTAATTATTTATATTAAAAACTATATTGATTTGAGATTACCAAAGTATAATAACATATGTATCGTGCTTTTGAAATATCCAAGCAATAAGAGTTTTTATTACATGGTAAAATGTAGATATCATATTGTATTAAAATTAAAGTAAATAATTTAGTACTTAAAAAAGCTTGAAGTTAGTGTTAAATTTGTTGAAACATTAAACAATATAAATTTTATAGTTCACACCAATAATTTTTATGAATAAAAGCTTCGGGTTTTAAGCAAATACTCATTAATTTGTGATGTTCAAAAAACTGTTGAATTTGTTGTGATGCTCAAAAACTAATTACATTCTTTTTAAACTAAGATTTGGGCTTATAAACTTAAAGGTGTGGGCTTATTTTTTTTGTGATTATATATCTTAACGTTAGTTATGTTATATTTAAATAGAAAAACAGATAGTTGTATTTTCGAAAATTTAGTTTATCAAACATTAAAATATTAAGAATAATAACATGAAAAATGGCGCTTTAATGTGGATAGATTTTCTAGGTGATTTATTATTGGAAGCTGTAAGGTTTATTTATATTAAAAACTATATTGATTTGAGATGCCCAAAGTATAATAACATATGTATCGAACTTTTGAAATATCCAAGCAATAAGAGTTTTTATTACACGGTTTATTTATTAAATATTACAGAAAACCTAAAGCATATATTAATAACAAATAATATTTATTAATAAAAATGTAACTTGTCAAATAAAAAAAAGTCTAATTGTATAAATTATATTAAATTATTATATCTAAAACCCATCAATAATAATAATAATAATAATAATAATAATAATAATAATAATAATATAGTATTGATAATGAAGAAACAAACTGTGGTGTTTTTTCTTTGGCAAGTTTCAAAAGAACATGCGAGAATACCACAATCAATTTGATAATTAAAAGATATTTACTGATTAAAAATATTCAAAACAAATATCCTAACTTATACATATACAAACCACACATATGCAGAATGTTAGAAACAAATAAATACACACCTAGAATTCAATTATATACATGTATTATTTGAGATAAAGAATAAGAAGATTGATCAATTTAGATAGAATACAAACAAATACATACACACATATATACAAATTATATACATGTATTATTTGAGATAAAGAATAAGAAGAGTGATCAATTTAGATAGAAGACAGAATAATATCAACAGTTGAAACAAAAGAAGTTTATCACTTCAAATAGAAGTAAGAAATAAAATATTATACACATTTGAAGTTACAAAATATAAAAGAAGTAAAGAGAACCTGAATCCGTGTCAAGAAACGCAATGAAGCAGTGTAGCAGTCTTCCCGATTCCAACTCAATGATCAAATCGTCCCAAAACCTCAACTGTGAAATTTTGATGTGAGTTAAAAATGAAGAACATAACTTAAATTTATAGGTTGAATAATCTATTATAGAATATAATGTTGTATTTTTGGATATTGATAATCATTCCAAAATTAAGCAAATTAAAATCTTACCATGAATATTAAAATCCATACCAAAAATATTTAAAATCTTACAAAATTAACAAATATAATAATTATCAAAATCCCTACCAAAAATATTTTAAAATCATATGAAACTTAACAAATATACTCAAAAATTTAAAAACGAATATAATATTTGTCGATTTTATTTTTGGAAATATATTGTAATCTAAAAAACAGTTTAATAGATCGGTAGTCAAAACATATAATTAAGTCACTTAATCTTTTACACATTACAGAATTAAAAAGTCGATACGTGTCATACAGAAACATAATAAGTGAAAAAAATAAAACAAAAAAGAAAGGGCTTACAACATTTAAATAAAACAAAAAAGAAAGGGCTTACAGTTCTTTGTTCTGTTGGAGAAGCAATTGCAAGACCAGAAGCCAAAGCTGCAACATGGAAGGGTTTATTATGATTACACTAAAGCAAAATTACAAAAAACACAAAAACACTTAACAGGAACTCAATGTGCCTTGGATTTTGGATTTATTTTTCTAAATGAGCACCATCATTTCCAAATGCAGATGCAGCCTCACTCTGGGCTTGCTGTTAAGAGAAAAATACAAACAAAAAGATGTAAAATTGGTTATGAAATTATAAACCAACAAAAAATTCATTAAAATAGTTAGCTGTAAATTTTAAAATACCTGCAATAATTTGATAAACTCAGCACGTTCTTTTGCAAGAAGCTCATTCTTACTACGAACATCAAATTCTTGTACAACACTACAAAAGGTAAAATAGTCACTTCAACAACAAAATGGAGGGTAAATTGATCATTTGAAACAACAAAAATACTTACCAACAACTAACAACACCAAACCTGTAATTTTACTCATAATAGCATCTTCCCCTTACCATTTATGCCCTTGTAACTAAAAAAAACATAATACCCATCAGGATTTTAAGTTTAAAAAATATATGTCAAAGAAGCAAGCTTATTTCTCCCTGAAAAGAATCAAATAAACAAACATTAAAACAACACAACACACTATATTTTTTCTTGATTACTGCTTCCTGTTTAAAAATCATATAAAGCAACATACTTTTATTTATGAGTGAAAAAAGACATTTTAGATTTTTTTTTTATTAAATAAAAAAATGCTAACCTTTAATTTCATTAGTTTGCTAGAATCTAAAATCCGAGCAAGAATATTCAAAACTGTAAGCTTCATTTTTTGTTATCCGGTATTGTTGTTGATCTTTCTTTGATGTTACCTGTAGCATGAAACCAGCATTAGCCAAAAGTTCAATAACTCCAAATGAAATTACATGTAACAAACGCAACCTAAGAGCTAAACATTACTTCTTGTAAGATCAAAGAAAAAGTATGACCTTGATACACAACTTGTCCATCTGCTAAAAGTATGACATCATCAAATAGGTCATAGGTCTCATTTCGCCTGTTGTGACTCGCTTTTTTTTTTGTCCCCCCTGAAATACCCCTAAACATTTCATCTCCTACTACAGTGTTTTCAAGACACTTCAAGACCTAAAATATGCATATCTCACATATTCACTTATATTTGATACATTTTTAAATATAACACGTGTCAATGGGACAAAAGTTGCAATTTTTATCTGTCTTATTCTAGAGCTATTACCTTGATAACATACTCGGTGACAACACTTGCCTCTTGACCTTCTAGTGATGATGCCTAAAGAAAAAGAAATATTAAAGATTAGATCAAGAAACAGAGTATATATATACTTCTTATGATGATACTACACGTATAACAGAGTATATATATACTTCAGTGACTGAATATTATTGTTGAATTAAATCAGGAGCCATAGACTTTTTTACCTCATCAGGAGACCAAAAGGTTTGCAATTCCTTCTGAATTAAATCAGCCATAAACTTGACATAACCTTGTCGCTGATACCAAGACTGAATAATAGCAACAGGAAGCTTTGACAAAATCTTGTCCTCCCTGAATATCTTTACTATATTATAGATTTGGAAGAAGTTTTTGGAAGAAACGATGATCATTGTGTCTAGAGGGTACCTGTGGTGGCTGAGGGAGGTTACGAAGGTGGTGGTAAGTGGCGGATCTGTTCATCAGCAGCGGCTTCTCGAGATGATTGACGCAGATCTTTAGGTTTTTTCAAGATCGAAGATGCTGAGAGGTGATTCGTCGTTAGCAGCGAAGTCCTTCTCCCCTCTGTGTTCGGTATCTTTGATAGCTGAGACCTGAGAGCGTGTTAGGGTAAAAATTGAAGGCGGGAAAGGGGCATATTTGGTGTTGTCGATGTCAATAGGATGATCCTTGTGTCTAGAGGGTACCTGTGGTGGCTGAGGGGGGTTACGAAGGTGGTGGTAGGCGGCGGAATCGTCGTCAGTAGTGGTTTCTCGAGATGATTGACGTAGATCTTTAGGGTTTTTCAAGATCGAAGATGCAGAGAGGTTGGCAAGGGGCATGTCGATGTGAATAGGACGAACAATGAACACATAAGCGAAATCCTCCTCCCCTCTGTGTTCGGATGAATAATGACCATCTCCGGATCTGTTTATGGTGTGCGATGTCTGGTGGCGATGGAGGGGACAACGTCGGCAGGGTGGCGATGGCGACGTCTATAGGAGGGTGGTGGTAATGGAAGCGTATCGGAGATTGAAGAAAGTGAGGAGGCAGACGGATTTGGAATAAACGATGTTGATAGTGTCAAAAGGGTATTAGGGTTTGGTATAATGATACTCGTGTATACGTATACATTGTAAGCTTAATAGATTGTACTTTGTGCTATAAAATGTATACCTCTTAATTTTCAAGACATGGGCAATATGTTTAATAATATAGTTAAGATATATATATATATATATATATATATATATATATATATATATATATATATATATATATATTAGTCCCTGTATTCTGCAATAAGTCTATGGTTGAGCATTGGTTTTGGTTAGAAATACCGATTTGCATTCAAAAATAAAATATTTTAGAGGTTAAACATTTTAAAATGATCTTGATTGTAGAAAAATATAACTGTCAATTTTATTCATTTGGTCAGAATTATGTTTTATAGACAACTAGTTGTGAGACATATGTATTACATGAGTTGATTAAAAAAAATAAATATAAATATAAATATCTAAATATTTGAAAACTTCGATTTTATAAGAAAATAAAAAAAATATTAAATTATTATAATAGAAATGTTTTTTTTATCTTTTAAATTTAAACAAATAAAGAAAACACTAATGAGTTTTAATTTTGAAATTAAAAGGTAAGTTCATTAATGGCATTGATATCTATTTATTATTATATTTATTGTAATTATTATATTAAAATATTATGTAGAATTTAAAAAAAAAATAAAAAACTTTTAAAATATCATATGGAAAAAAAAAATTTAAAATAACAATAAAATAACATTTGACAAATTAATGAATATAACAAGTGACAAAAAAACCCTTGATTTATTAGGGAGGGTAACGTTTAACATATTTGGTTTAAACATCCATAGCATTTATCATAAAGAAATGTTTTATATTAATAGATGTGAACATTAAAATCGGTTCAAACATGTTTCAACTTTTGGACTCAAACTTGACCGGTCTAGGATCGATTGGTGTGGGTCCAACCTAGACCTACGATCTTGGATCAGTCCCTATGGGTATGGGTAGCTATGATTGTGAAAAGATTATTGTATATGTGTTTGTTGTATTGGTAATTTGGTATCATAATTTATTAGACCAATTAAATGCATCTCTAAATAACCATCATAATTTAAATTGAATACATAATTCATTAAAGAGCATAAATTGAAGAAATGAAATCTTTTTGGTATATAGATCACTAAAATAAATGATAATATAATGTGTTAGGATTTATTTATCTAGACAATATTTTATTTAGATAAATAAATCCATAAAAGAAAAAACTTTAGGGACAATTACTATACATGAAAATGCAATAATAATTTGAATGCTTCATGAATAAAAAAATAAATTTGAGGGGCCATTTATAAATAAAAGGAAAAAGTTTAGGGAACATTATGAAAGGTGTTATTGGCACCCAAAAATTGAGTAATTGCCCTTAAAATAAATGATAATTAGGGCTTTAAACGAATTGGACGTTCAACGAACTGTTGAACTGTTTGTGAACTGTTTGACGGGAAGTTCGTTTATTTAATAAATGAACGAACATGAACATGAATTCTCGTTCGTTTAGTTAAACGAACGAACATGAACAATGGTCTCATTCGTTCAAATACATTCGTAAACGTTCATTTATGTTTATTTATGTTCGTTCATATAAATTCATTTTATCTTCATATATATTTAAATGTGTTTGATTACATTATTATATTATATGTTCATTTATGTTTATATATATGATTGTTTATCTTTGTTCGTTTATATTCGTTTAGCATGTTTACGAACATAAATGAACGAACATAATTTGTTAAACGAAAAAACACGATAAAAAAAACTCGTTCATGTTCATTCATTTGTTCGGTTAACTTAAACGAACGAACATGAACAATCATCGTTTGTGTTCATTCGGTTCGTTTACAGCCCTAATGAGAACATATTTGGTTTTGACTTAATAAAATGTTTTTCACCATGGTATGTTTAAAATCCCCCGATAGCAACACATAATTTCCGCTTGTCCTATATTCGTTACCAATATTTTTATACAAATTAAGTTATTTTACCAACAAAAGTTTCGTACCTACGCCTATATATATATATATATATATATATATATATATATATATATATATATATATATATATATCGATAAATTAATAACCTTGTTAAAATTAATAATTTTTCCGGTTCCAACTTAGGACCGATACAAAATTAGATCTCAATCGATAAAATAATAAAATAATAATTTTTGAAATCCCAATGTTAATATATTGGTCCTAGCAAAACTATAATTAATAATTACTAATATATTCTAAAATTCTAGAAGTGTCTAATAAAAAATGAATCTATAGTCACTTATTTTTTTGTAAACTTCAAATCTATATTGAGTTCATTTTTAAATCTCTCAATTGCACTTAAGAGTTCAGGCAGTGTATTCTCGTATTGTAACAAAAAATCGTGAAGAGTTGTTGCCGCTTGCAATGCTTCTTTCCAAATGATCGGTTCCAAAGGTACCGAATCATCATCAATTTCATCATCAACTGAATTTTGAACAGTATCCGTGATAATTTCTTCAATGCTCTGAACATCATAACATTCATTATTTTCACATGGATAATCCAACAACTCATTCACATCCATTTTGTGCCGATACTGCATTCCCGTAATCAAGTTCTCAAGCTCACGAATGTCTTCACTAAAAATTACATCGTTTAAATCATTTGAGCCGGTTGGATTAGCCGAACAAATTTACAGTGTCGAAAGCAATTTGCTATGGACTCTTGTTTCACATTTCTCCAAGTCGAGACGACCAAGTTGATGGCATCTAAAACATTAGTCTTTTATGGGGGAGAAATGTCCAACTTATAACTTTCCAAAATCTTACGATAAAACTTTTTACGCTAGTACATTTTAAAGGCTCTAATTATCCCAACATCACATGGTTGAATTTTTGAAGTCATGTTTGGCGGTAAAAAAACAACTCGATGTTTTGCAACCCTTAAATATTTTTTGAATGGGCTGAACGTTTATCCACTACCAATTCAACTGTGCATTTGATCATCTAGCCAACGAACATATTCTTCAAAAATCAACCTAGTCATACATGCTCTTTTGTTGGCATGGTATTCACAATCTAGGCTATTCATGTTGACATTCTTAAAATAATGTGGCTTTGCATACTTACCAATGATCCATATAGGAATTTTTTTCCGAGCCATCCACATTGTAACAAATAACAATTGTAAGTCTTTCCTTGTCCTGTTTCTAACCTTTAAGTTGTTTTATTGCAAGTAAATGGCGAGCTTGTAACCTGTAAAACAAACCAATTTCATCCATATTAAAA